GTATAATTTAAGTAAGTTGCCACCAAAAGAAAAGGCAGTATCAGTTTCAGTAAAAAAACAAAACAAAAAAAAAGGTGCAAGAGGAAAACTTGGCATAGTTTTAGAATAAATAGTCTGCTGTGGTAACAACACCACAGGCCTTTACTCTGCTCTCCCAAACTAATCTCAGAGGGGCCCCTTTTCCAAAGTGCACTTCTTTGTGTGCAAATGCAGCCCAGCAGAGAGGAAATGACAAGACCAGACCTGAATAAGCAGAGCACAGCTGGGCAGCACAGCCTGAGGGGCAACTTGCCCTGGGGCTGCCTCATTTGGGGAGGGGCCCTCACAGCCAAGACTCTTCACAACTAAGCAGCAGCACCACTGGGCTGACCCACACAGGGGCTGCTTCATGAATCACCTGGACCAACACTGAGCTTCCTAACAGCCATGCTGCACTCACACCCATTAGTACCAAAACGGAGCTATTTGCACTAAATAGAGTTTCCTTCTCCCCCACACCCCAACTCTGGAACTCCTGCTGGCTTTGACGTGGAGCGACCATCAGTTCACAGACACCAGATGCCACAGACAGACTCCAGAACCTGGGCCCCAGAGCAGACCCAGAACCAAAAGCCGAACCCCAGACCCCAACCCCAATTCCAAAACTGTCCCCATGACCCAGGCCAGACCATCGCCCCTGAATGCCAAACCCCAGACACCAGAGACTGATGGCAAATGCTGGACGCCAGATTCCACACATCAGAGCTAAGAGCCAGAGCTGCACATAACCCCACACACCCTCCCAGGACATGAAGCTGCACCCGAAGAGACTCCAGATCCCAGACACGCAGACACAGATTCAACCCCAGACCACAGACCCAGGAGACAGAACCCAGATCTGGAAGCAGGACCCCACAGCCAGACCCCAGAGCTGAAGCTGGACAATGGATCCCACTTACCAGTTGCAGGAGTGGAACTGAGTCCTCACAATGTAAACAGGGCCAGGAGCCAACAAAGCACCGATTCTTGACTCTCTAAGTCCAAGAAGCTGGCCTCAGAAATAGTTTTTTATGCCAATGCAAATGTACAAGGGAAGAAAATAACTCTCTGCACTACTAAATGATACCAAACCCTGCTGAAAATACACCAAAAAGGCTGACAGAGCAAACAATAATGATAATGTTTACTCTTGCCAGGAAAAGTCCATGATCTCTCAGAGGCTGCACTTTCCAGAAGTTAGTGTCCCAGCCACGAATGTCACAGGCCAGCTCACAAAACCAGTCACATGAGTAAAAAATTATTTTCCTCCTATCTTCTAAGTTGTAACAGCTGGAATAACAATCAAATTCACATAATCTGATTCATGGGAGGATTAATTCAACATCTACTACGTGGGCAAGGGGAATGAATTCATATTAAAATGAATCCCAAACATAATGAGGTAATATTGAGTATATGGGGTATTTTGGAAAATGGAAGAACAGAGTCTGAGATTTCAAAGGTGAAGTGGGGGACATGCAGATAATTTACAAAAAAAAAAAAAGGCAGTATACCTGCCAGGTCAATTTCTGCTGGGCAACTCCCACAACTTTCAGACGCAAGGGGTACAGTAAGAGGGTCAACAAGCTCTTACGAGGACAGGAGTCTCACTGTCTGAAGCTGAGGTGATTGGGCTGAAGTTCTCTTCCTAAAACAAACTCTGGCAACTAAACCTCTTAGGAAGAACCGAGATGACAATCCTAAGGAATTTCTCAGTCTTCCCTTTCTGAACAGCCAGTTTAACATCAACGTGCCTAGTGCAAAACGTTGGCCGTGAACGCAGCGCGACTCCCTGTCCTCGCACCGCGGGAAACGGAAGCTCCTTCACCACGCTCCCCGGACGCCGATTTTCCCGGGGTTTCGTCTTTCACAACAGGAAAGAAAGGGGTGAGCCATGTGCCCTTCGCCAGCACGTCTGGGTGAACCCCCAGCCGGCTCCGGCTCCGAGAACCCCAGGACCCGCGCTGCGCCCTGCGCTCCAGTGAAGGGAGGGAGGCGGGGCGCGCCTGTCGCTCGCGGTGAGGCCGCTCCACTCCGCTCTCCTTTCCCTCCGACGGGGGAGGGGGACCTCCAAGGCGGTGTGAGCGCTACCCGGTGTCCCGTCGTCTCCCGCCCTATCTCCCTGGCCCCAACCCTCCTCGAGTGTCTCATCACTGCCGCCCACGCGCAGGTCCGGGACCCGAAACGTCCGTTCTCTCCGTTCCACCCAAATGCCTCTCGGGCCCTTCCCCCTGCCGCCCCCCCAAGTAGCCCGTTCAAACCTCCAGAGGCGTCTCCGACCCTTCCCAGCACCGCGCACCAGGCTCGGGTCCTCCGTCCAGAAACGCGCCTCCCGCCCCTGCCCGCTGGGGCTTCGACCCCCATTCCCGACCCCAACCCGCCGGTATCGCACCCCACCTGCCCCTCCTCCGCCCCAACACTCCTCCCGGGCCCCTCCGTCACTCACCCGGCAACGTCACGGTCACTCCCCCCCCCCATTAAAATCTCGAAGTTCCCTGGCGCTCAGTGTCCGGGACCCTCGCCTCCCCCACTGCGCCGACGCCCCTCCGCTCGCACAAACTCATCCGCCCGCGCGCGCGGGTCCTGCAGCCCATGGGAGGGGAGAGAAGGGATGGGCAGGCCGCAGGATGGGGACGAGCTGGACGTGAGAGGGGTTCCGGGCGATTGGGACCGTCAGAACCGCAGGGAGGCCGAGCGGAGCGCCGGGCAGGTCCGGCCCGAGAAGGGAGCGCGTACACGCGGGAAGTTCGTATGAAGCATTTACTTGTGTCAGGTCCGGGGACCGGCATCTCGTGTGTGATACAGGACACACCCTGGTGAGAGGGACACACGTGCCTTCATTCGCGCCTCCGGGGCGGGTGTGCAAGGGGAGGCGGGCCTGGGGGCTGGGCGGAGCCGCAGAGACCACCCTGCCGTCCCCACGGGGGCCTGCGTGGCTTCTGTGGAAGCGCTGTCCTGAGCTCTCGCGTGCAAGGCCCGTGCGGCCACTCGGGACAGCGGGGACCCAGCGACGGAGCGAGGGCACTCGGCGCGCGTGTTGTGGGGTGTGTGTGTACAGGAGACGTGACTGGGAGCGACCGCGTCACTGGTGTCAAACGTGGCGGCACCTCACGGGCGTCAGGGGTCGCGCGATGACGCCCGCGTCCCCGTGTGCGGCGACCTGGCCCAGCGAGACGCTTGGATGGACCCCGCGCCCAGGACCAGCCGCTTGATGCCCTTGGAACGTGAGGCCCTTGGTGGCCGCTGCGGCGCGGGCTTCTCCCCTCTTTCTGCGTCTGTCCTGGCTTCTCGCTTTTCTCACACAGCCCTAATCCTGACCCCTGACCCCTGATCCTGACTGAGTCGCTGGTTCTGACCCTTGAACTCGATCTTGACCCTTGCCCTGATCCTTACCCCAAAGGCCCGAACCCAAACCCTAACTCCAGCCCCTACCGCTCGCCCCACCTACCCTCCGACTCTAACCCTAAATTAAAGGGTAACGCTAAACCTGACCCGCAGCCTTCACATTCACCGGTGCCATGAATACCAGACTCTGACCGCGAAATCGGAACCTGTGACCTGCACCTCCAACCTCGAACCCTGAACCTAAGCGCAGTCCCTGCATCTGCTGACTCACAGCCCCAAGCCTAAGCCCAGTCCTGATCCAGCCCCGGCCGTCGCCCCAGCTGAGCTCTCACCGCGGAACCTGGCCCCGGCTCTCAGCTGCCTTTGTCCGACTTGTCACAGCCACACGGACCGGCCGCACCCTGAGCAACGGGCGCCCCTCGGAACAGAACCTCCGCACCCGAGGCTCCGGGCGCCGCCCGGCCGAGTCCGGAGTTCACGGCGTCCCCGCGCCTCCGAGACGGCGCCCCCTGGTGTCCGTCCTCGGCTGTTCACGCCAGCGAGGCGGCGGCCCGTGCGTGTTTGGCTCGTTTAATCATTGTCTTCATCTTTTGATGTTTTTAACGTCTTCTCATTTGTGTTGGAGTTGAACAGATTTATTGTGCTTTGAGTAAGTGTGCTGCCCTTTTTTCTGCTTGGGATCGTAGGGTTTGCATGCCATTCGGGGTGGAAATCTCATTATTACCTGCTCGAACACTGTGGGTGGGGGGCTTCGGGAATGGGGGCACACGGAAGAGTAGCTGGGACCCGGGAAGGAGCCCCCCGCCTCCGACTCAGAGGAGGGGCGCCTGCTCCGGGGCGTAGAGAAACAATTGCACCCCCAACGCCCAGCCCTCTGAGCCTGCGGGACCGTCCCTCCACGGTGGCCCCCGCCCCCGGGCTCTGTCCACTCTGGGCCGGCTCAGGGCCCTGGGGGCCCGAGGCCCTCTGCTGAGGGGACGGCCCACCGCATCACAGAGAGGGGTCCAGAGAGGGAGGAGGGCGAGGGTCCCAGCCGGCTGGGCTCCTGGCGGAGGGGGCGAGGCTGAGAAGCCCGCGGGGCGGACGAGTCCTGGAAATCCACTCCTCGCACTCAGGTGACACACCCTGGTGGGCCCAGGACAAGGACCACTTGGGGCTGGAGGGCCGGACACTTGAGGACGGCAGGCGGCCACTCGGGGCAAGATCACAGGCCCGGCCGCCAGCCTGATGCAACCAGAGGCCTGGGCCGACACCAGGTTGGCTCTGGCCTGGGGCCCAGAGTGACCGCACGCAGGTGGGGACAGCGCTCAGAGGGGTCGGGCTGCCGGCTCTCGTCCTGGCCTCTGAGCACTGACCCCGGGGTCACCCCAGGACACCCTCCTGTCCCGTCCTCTGTCACTCACAGCAGTGGCCTGGGAGTCCCCATTGTCCCCACGGGAGTCTGGGGCTGCGAGGACGGGACCCCCTTCTCCGCCGCAGCGCTGGCCCCGCCGCGGCGCCCTGGCCCGGACTCGGGGCCCCTCCGCCCGCCGCCCGCACCCCGCTGCGGCCTGGGTGGAGCCGGCTGCCGAGGTCCGTCCTCTGGCCCCTCCTCCGGGGCGGGCGCAGCGCGCGGCCAATGAGCCAGGAGCTGCTCTCGGAAGCACCGAGTCTCGGCGGGGACGACGCTGGGGACAGAGGCCACTGAGGGGGCTTTGCTGTGAGGACCGGGGCACCACGCGGGTGAGTGTTGCTTGTCGGATGACCGAGTCCCCGCAGGGAGACGGGTGGGCGCAGAACGGCCCGCCGTCCCGTGCCCAGCCCGACGCAGCAGTGTCGGGCAGACGGAGTCACCGCCCGGCGGGACAGTGGGACGCTCTGGGCCAGGAACTGCTGGGCCCCCGAGACTCCGGGGCCGCTACCTCCGTCTGCTGGGCGGGCAGGGTCCCTCGGCCGGGCTGCGGCCAGGGCGGAATGCCGCCGGCCGGGGCAGCTCACCCTTCCGATTATTCACCGGCCAGCGGAGCCCGGAGCGGGTTCGCGGCGCTGCCGCGCGCAGGCGCTGGGCCCGCGGAGGCTCAGGTGTCTCCCACCGTCAGGTGGGCGGGACGGGGCCGCAGCTGCTGCTGCGGGTCCCGGGAAGCCCGGGCGGTGCCCAGGCCGCCTGCGCGTCCGGGGCCGGGGAGGAGGTCGGGCCCTGCGGGTCTCCGCAGAGCCCCGTGGGCGCGTCCTGACCCCGGTGGCCCGACAGGAGCGTGTCGCCTCGTCTGCTCGTCCTGAGAAAGAGCTCGCTGTCCTCCAGCTGCCCCTCTGACCGACGGACCCCGCGTCGGTCGCTAGCCCTTCCCTCCGGAGCTGCAGAATTCCTGCTTCGGGGCCCAGCCCCGCGGGCCGGGGCGCTGACCAAGTCCACGGTCCGGCCCTCCCTCAGGGGACAGAAGACCCGCACTCAGACCCTGGGGCGTGCAGCTCTGCACCCCGCCCCACGGCCCTGGGGCGCCGGTGTGACCCCACAGTGAGGGGTCCCCCTGGGAAAGCGCCTTTGGGACCGCTGGGTCCTTCTCGGTGCCTTTCTGTATTTCCGTGTCTGTGATTCTGCCTCCCTGTCTGTCTGTCTGTCTGTCTCTGTCAGGGACTCTCCCCACTCCCGTACCCTCCCGACCTCCCAACCTCCCAACCTCCCAACCTCCCAACCTCCCATCCTTCCAACCAGGCCTGGGAGAAGTCGGATTTCTTTTCTCTCAAAGCTGCTGCCCCAGCGCCGTGAGAAGAGCGTCCGTGGTGTTCGGGGTTGCCCCCTGCACGACCTCCTGCCCCGCCTCAGCTCCTGGGCCCCCCACCCCCCACCATGATGCCCGCAGGTGGGCAGGAGAGTTCGCCCAGGACCCGCCCGGGCCTGCCCTGCCCGGCGACGAATGGCAACGCGGACTGGATGTCAGCGCTGTGTCCCCGGCTCTGGGACGTCCCCCTGCACCACCTGGCCATCCCCGGTGAGTGCCTGCCTGTCGGGGGTGAGATGCAGGATCCTGAGGGTGTCCCCGGGCCGCGCTCCCTCCACAGGCTGCAGGGAGGGGCCTTCCCGCCTCTTCCAGCTCCGGGGCCTCCAGCTGTCCCTGGGCTGGTGGCCGCGTCCCTCCCGTCTCTGCCTCCATCTCCATGTGGCTCCTCCCCTGGGTCTGCGTCTCCTCTTCTGTCCCTTCTCAGGACACTGTCACTGGACGCAGGGCCACCCTGACCCAGGACCACCTCCTCTCAGATCCTTCCCTCATCCCACCTGCCAAGGCCCTGTGTCCACACAGGTCTAGTGACCGGCTCTGGGAGGGTGTGACTGTGGGGGCTGCTGCCCAAGTGTGCTCAGCAGGCTCTCCACGGGTGTCCTGCGTGTCCCCTGCCTGCTGCCGGTCAGAGCCCCACCTCGGCCCACGGGCACCGTAGGGAAGGGCTGACGGCGGCCGTGTGGCTTCCTTCCAGGCAGCCACGACACGATGACCTACAGCCTGAACCGGAGGTGCCCCATCTCCCACACGCAGTCCCCGCTGCTGCAGCTGCTGGCCAGGGTGCTGCCCTGCATCACCCAGCCCGCCGTGCTCAAGTGGTCGGTCACCCAGGTGAGTGTCCGCGGGCGCGGGCCTTGGGCGGAGCCGTGTCCCCCTGCCTGGGCCATGTCCCCCTGCCTGGGCCGCCCACCTGACCCCGAGGGAGAGAAATGGAAACACAGCTCCTTCCAGCGCGCACCCGCCGCGCTGGGGCAGCAGACAAAGGCCCCATTTGTCACAGAAACCGGCCCCCTGCGCCGTGATGGCTTTGCACTCAGTATCAGTCCCCGCAGGGCGGGCGGGTGGGCGGCCCACGCGCCGGGGCGGGGAGCCCGGTGTGGAACGCAGGGAAGCCGCATTCCTGGACCCGTCAGGTGCCCGGGATCCGGGGAGCCTCAGAACAGTCACCCCGCAGCCTTTCCGGAAGGAAGGGCGGGGTGGGTGGGGGTTGGAACGGAGGTGGCCGCTGGGGAGGGCTGGAAGCCTCCCGGGAATCGGGAATCAGCGGAGAAAGCAGCGCAGGCTGCACTTCAACGTGCAGCCACACGGGGGCGGCAGTGCGGCCCGACCCAGGGGTAGTTGCTGAGAGGCCCGCGGCCTCGGAAGGCGCTGAACCTAGACTTTCCGGGTGGCCGGGCCTGGGGGGGGTCGGACGGGAGGGAACTGGCCGGCTGGTGGCCCCGGGTCCCAGGAGCAGGTGGGACCTGAGCGGCTGCAGATACCGCTTTGCTCGCACTGAAAGCCTGTGCCTCTGGGGCCTGGGATCAGTCAGCTGGGTTCAGTCCGGCCCCGCCAGCGGGGTTGGGGGCGCGTGGAGCAGGAACCCAGCTCCCTGCAGGGCCACGCGGGCTGCAAACAGTTTTCCCGGCCGTTAGTGGTTTGTCTGTGTCGCTCTGAGCAGAGCCCATCGCCGCGGACGTCCTCGCGGTTGACCTTTCTCGCTTCTTCTGTTCTCCGGGGCAGAGACCTTGTCTTCCTTCTTTTCCTTTGTGCTTTTTCTGCTTTTCCATCCTTGTCTCTACAGGGAGCAGAGTTACCATTTTCGTTTATTTTCATGCGATGGTACTCCTGACTTTTTCTGGTACTGGTTTGGAGAGAGAAAAGACCATTTCCTTTCCCATGTCCTGTCTTCACATTGATTTTCTTTTTTTCTTTCAAGATTTTATTTATTTACTTTTAGAGGAGAAGGGCAGGAGAGAGAAACATCAATGCACGGTTGCCTCTCGTGCGCCCCCTGCTGGGAACCGGCCTGCAACCCAGGCACGTGGCCTGACTGAAAATCGAACTGCAATTCTTTGGTTTCGCAGGCCCGTGCTCAATCCATTGAGCTACACCAGCCAGGGCCACATTGATTTTCTGACCTCCCTCGTGACTCCGTGGGGTGGGGGCAGAGGCCGCAGGTTCCCAAGCGTGTTGTTCTCATGGCTTTTCCCCGGTTCCCCGGTGCGGGCGGTTTACAGCCTTTCTTCCTCTGTTCCTGTCGCTGATTCCTTCTTGCCTTTCCTGGAGCTTCTTCTGGGTGAAGAGTCCCCACTGGAGTCAACCTTCCTGAACATGCTCTGACCTCCCAGGGCCCAGCAGGGGGTCCTGGACACCCCCCCCCCCAGGGCTGCTGGGGCCCCCCCCGGGATGGGGCTCTTTCCGGTGAGGGCCTGGGAGGAAGGCAAGGTGGGACCCTGAAGAATCTCCCCAGTCCAGGGTGGAGCCAAGAGCACATGGTCTGCTGGGGGCCGGCCTGGCCGCTTCCCAGGACAGGCCCCACCTCGGGGACCCTGCCTGGCTCCACTGGCCCGTGCCCCCTGCAGAGGGGGACCCACGTGGAAGATGAGCGAGGTGGGAGCCGCCACCCAGCGCCGCCCACGCAGAGGTGACCCCCCCCCCCCCCCCCCCCCCCCCCAATGTGCAGGTGCTGACGGTGACGGAGCAGCTGGACGCGGGAGTGCGGTACCTGGACCTGCGGATCGCGCACATGCCGGGCGGTTCTGAGAAGAACCTGCGTTTTGTGCACATGATGTACACGACCGTGCTGGTGGAGGTAGGCGGCGGCCGGGCGCGGGGGGCGGCGGGCGCGGGGGCGGCGGGCGAGGGCTCGGGGCAGGAAGCGGCCGGCCGCTCCCGATCACCCAGGTCTCTGAGCCCGCGCCGCCCCCGTGCGCCTGCTCCCTGGGGCTGCCTGGAGTTTTGCAGACGCGCATCCCCGTGGAGTTTCTGCTTCCGGGGCAGCTGGTCTCAGTCCCTCCAGCTGTCAGCGGCTGCACAGATGTTCCCAAAGCCGCCATAGGACGGGTCACCGTCCACTCCACAGCTGTCCTGGGCCCCACTGCAGACCCCGGGGCGGGGAGGGGCCAGCCCTGGAGCTCCCTCTGCAGGTCACCTGCGGGCCTGGCGTGCTACCGGAGCCTCCTGGGCCTGCACATGCAGCGTCCGCAGTGTGGACGGCACACACACGCGGGCACACTGTGTGCACACGGCACTCCATGCGCACAGCCAGGCACATGCACACTTCCCCCCACACCAGTGGCCGGTTGGCCCAGTGTCCCTTGGGCAGTGGAGTCCAGAGAGGGCAGCCACGCGCCCTCTGTGTTTGCTCCTTGGGACCTGGCCTGTGTGCTGGCTGACTGTTCGTGGGAAGGGTTATCCCTGAATTCCAGGCTGGGTCAGGCTGTGTGACTGTCAGGCTGGGTCAGGCTGAATGACTATGTCAGGCTGTGTGACTGGGTCAGGCTGGGTCAGGCTGAGTGACTGTCAGGCTGTGTGACTGTGTCAGGCTGAGTGACTGTCAGGCTGGGTCAGGCTGTGCACTCCTGTCCCTGCCCAGGACACGCTCACTGAGATCTCTGAGTGGCTGGAGAGCCACCCCCGGGAGGTGGTCATCCTGGCATGCAGGAACTTCCAGGATATGACGCAGGACCTGCACGAGTACCTGGTCACCTGCATCAAGAACATCTTTGGGGACATGCTGTGTCCCCGAGGGGTGAGACGGGCCGGGCCTCTGCACCGCTACTGGGAGGAGTGGGGGTCAGAACACAGCACAGGCTGCGTCTGCTCATGGGCTTCCCTGACCTGACCATGACGTCACCCCGAAGTGGGCAGGGCTGGCTCCCCCGGAGGCCTCTCTCCTGGGCGTGTGGACGGCTGTCGTCCCCCTGTGTCCTCACACGGGCGTCCCTCTGGGTGTGTCTGTGTCCCCATCTCCTCTTCTTCCAAGGACCCCAGTCCTGCGGGATCAGGGCCACCCTAGGGACCCCGTTTCTCCTAAATCACATGTATAGAGACCTGTCAGGTCAGGACTCTGACATGTGAACTTGGGGACACAGGTCAGCCCGTGTCCCCACTGTGGTTTCATGAAGCAGATAAGTCTCTGTGGTGGCTGCTGGCATCTGGGCTGCGTCCCCCCGCCCAGGGGAGCTGGAGGAGTCCACCCCCCGGCATTTAGGCCGCCCCATGTCCTTGCACCCCCCGCCACGCCTGGCCCTGCCCCGGTGACACTGGCAAAGGCACAGAGTTGGACTCTGATGGGTCTGGGGTGAGACAGATGGCAGAGCTGCCACGAGCCAGGGACACCCCGTCCTGTCCCCGAGAGGGCTCCCGGGGGACGGGCTGCCCGGGGGTGTGCCAGCTGTCCAAGTCTCCCCGGAATGTCACCGAGGGTGGGGACACGGGACTGCCAGACACGGAGGGACAGTAGAGCGGCCTTCTCACGTGTCACACTGACTCCCGGTGACCCTCTGTCCGAGGTGAACCGAGTGGGACCAGGCCACATGAAAGCGAGCATCCGTGTCTCGTGACGCACCGATGCTATGACACACACACACAGAAGCCCCCTGCCCACCCCCAGACCCCCGACCCCCCAGCTCTGACCGGCCCCTGCCCTGCAGGAGGTGCCCACGCTGCGCCAGCTGTGGGCGCGGGGCCAGCAGGTGCTGCTCTCCTACGAGGACGCGGCCTCCGTGAGCCGGCACGGGGCGCTGTGGCCCGGCGTCCCCTACTGGTGGGGCAACCAGGTGCAGCCCAAGAAGCTCATCCACTACCTGGAGCACATGAAGAGCTGCGGCCGCCCAGGTGGGTGTGGGCCGCGCGGGAGGCAGGTCACACGCGTGGGCTGGGCCCGGCAGGGGAGGGCCGGCCGCCAGTGTGTGGTTCTGCCTGCACGGACACGCAGAATAAACCCATGGGCACATCCACGCGTGACCTGCATGTACAAGTGCACACATGTGTACACCTGTCCACGCACACGTGTGGGCATGCCCATGGGACCCCCTTGCCATGTGTGTACACGGAGACTAAGACACAGGGTCTCTGGGGACGCTATTCCGTCCCCACGTGGAATCCGAACGTGGGGTCTTGGGGGCCACTTCCGCCGGCCGCGCTCAGAAGCGACAAGAGCACACAGATTGGACACTGCGGTCGAACCCGGCTCTCGTTTCTGGAGGGGGAGCCAAAACCCTGGGGGGCTGCAGGGGACACAGGTGGGCTGGCCCCTCTCCCGGGGACTCGGAGTCACCAGCCCCGCCCCCCCTGCCGCTGCAGACGGCGTGTTTGTGGCGGGCATCAACCTCACCGAGAACCTGGAGTACATCCTGGCGCACCCGGCTCAGTCGCTGCAGAAGATGACGCTGCGCAGCCTGCCGCCGCTGGGGGCCTGGGTGCGGGAGCAGAGCCCGGGGCCCGGCCCGCGCTGCACCAACATCATCGCGGGCGACTTCATCGGCGCCGACACGTTCGTCAGCGACGTCATCAGGCTCAACGAGAAGCTGCTGGGCTGCTGACCGCGGCTGCCCGCCCGCCCTGCGGGGGCTGTGTGGAGATCGGGCTCCTTGGGCGCAGTGCGCCCCAAACTACAAGCAAACCCGAGCCTGTCTGGGGCGGGCAGCGGGTACCGCCTGGTCCCCCAAAGGAAGCCCGATGCGCCCTCTCGGAAGCACCTTCCCCGGGGCCCCTGAGGCCTCAGCCCTGACTCTGGGCCCCCGTCGCGGAGCTCCCGCTGTGACTTTCGGACCCAGCCAGCCTCTGCCCACTCCGGTGGGGACGCTGGGACTGGGGAGGGCGTGGCAGGCAGTGGGGGTACCAGCGGGGGCCCAGGGACCCAAACACCCCCCGCCCTGCCTCGCATTCCCACCAGGGAGGAACTGGGGGGGGAGAGACAGCCACTGCGAGGGGGGCGGGTGCCCCCAGGGAGGCCACGGGACACTGCTCTGTGGGCTGCACCTGTGAAGCCCGGACGTGGCCCTGCGGGAGACTCCCGCCCGTGGTGGCCTCCTTGAAGGAGGCCTTGAGCTCAGAGACCCCTGGGGATGGCTCATCCGGAGGCCGAGTTGAATGGATCAGATGGGCCTATACAGGCTCTTGGCCTCCCATACCCGGGTGCGCGCCCACCCCAGGCCGCCGGGTCACATGACCACCACCGACGGAGTTCAGGCCTCACTGATTTATTCTCTGCATTTGGAGCCGCGGATGGCCTGGTCTGCGGCAGGTGTGGGAAGTCCAGGAGTGCGGGCAGCAGGCTGGAGTGATGGGGCGCGTCTCCGGAGACGAGGACGGCGCTGCGCTGGGTTCAGTCCGGTTCGGGCCCCTTGAGCAGGCTCAGCACAGCCCAGCCCAGGGCAGAGGCCGCTGCCCCCTCACCCCGCTCGCTGACGCTGGGGCCGTGCAGACGCGGCGCTACGCCAGTCTAAGGGAAGAGGCGCACAGACACTTCTCACGTGACAAAAGACGCAAACAGACCCCTTGCGCTCTGCACGTGCTGGGCTGCGTGGGCTCCGAGAGGCACGCGCGTCTCTGCGGAAGCTGCAGGACCCCGGCTAGCTCTGCACTCGGCCTGTCTCGGCCCCCGTGCTCAGCAGCGGCCGTCTCCGCGGCAGTTTGACTCCAAGAAGCACCTTCCCGCTTGTGGGTCCAGCTCTGGGCGCTGGGTTTCCTCTGGACGGAGGCCGGAGGACGGACTGGGAAACTGAGGGTTCGAGTCCAGCAGTGGGGACTTCTGGGAGCAAACCCGTCCACACGACTGCTGCCGGCCCACCGACCTGGCGGCGCTGGGTCTGCCCTGTCCGACTCGCCTCCCTCAGGCGCAGAGGACGTCCCGGTCACCGGCGCCAGTTCACTCTGGGAAGAGCTTCCGGAATCTGCCGTAGGCGGAGTTGCTGATGATGGCCGTGACTTCAGCCACGCCAGCCTCCGGGACCACCTGCACGTCCTGCACCGTGGCCTCCTGGTGCAGCCAACTGCGGGGAGGGCAGGCTTAGGGGGGCGGCAGCGTGGGACGCACAGCGCGCTCAGGATGAGCTTGCGGAGGGACCAAATGGGACGCGTGGAGGCCACGCCGCCGCTCAGAACGCACCCGACCAGTGCCCGGCCGGCGCCGAGGCCGCACCGCCAACGCACCGCCGCCCGGGCCCACCCCGCCCGCCCCACAGCCGGACCCACCTCAGCTGTGGCCCTGCCAGGCGGACGCGCAGGGTCAGCACCCGTCTGCCCGTGGCTCTCAGCACGGCGTCTTCCAGCGCGGCCTTCAGCTGCTCCAACCCCAGCCCCAGGCGGGCAGACACGGCCAGGGCACCGGGTTCCGATGGGCTGTACCTGGGCAGGGACGGCCAGGGACCTGGCTCAGCCGCAGTCAGCCGAGCGAGGGTCCCCATAGGGCCCCCCACAGGGCCCCCCGACTGTGACTCCTCCTCAGGCCGTCCCAGGACAAGAGGCCGCCTCTCTCCAGACAGGCTGACGCCGGGAAGTCTGGGAACAGTCCGTGGTGAAGCAGGGGCGGTGCAGGGTGCAGGCAGCGCTCTGGGGACTCGGTTGCACATGACACACGGCAGCTAGGTCGAGAGCACCCCAGCCCCCCACCTTCCTGAACGGGCCAGGCCGCCCTGCACGCAGCCTCCCCTGTACCACTGGCAGTGCACGCTGTCACCCAAAGGCCCTCGGGTCCCTGTGGGAGCGGGCGTTCCAGGACGTGGGCAGGGACGAGGCAGGCGGGCGCAGCTCACCCGGGCACCAGGTCCACCTTGTTGTGGACCTCCAGCGCGGAGTCCAGCAGAGGGGTGGGCAGGCGCAGGCCGCGCAGGGCGGAGAGCACGCTGGCTTTCTGCAGCTCACACTCAGGGTGGCTCACGTCTCTGACGTGCACGATGACATCCTGGGGACCGACGGCCACGGGGCAGGACGTGTGAGGGCGCCGGTGCCAACCCCACGCGGAGACCCACCCAGGGCCAGCTGCCCCACGCTGTCCCCAGGCCCGCACAGCAAGCGCTGGGCTCTGAAGACCCCAGAGCTGGAGCCGGTGGACGGAGCAGTGGACTCGGGGCCCGCCGGGCCGGTCCCCACTAGAGGGCACTCTAGAGGCAACCGCACATGAACAGTTCTCTCCCTCTTTCTCCCCCACCCTTCTCCTCTCTAAAAAGAAATCATTCTTCCAAAAAATAAATAAATAAAACCAGAGTCACCCCTCATTTGTCCTGTGGAACAACCCGGCCTTCCCTGGGCTGTGTTTCGGGGACCCCGGCCCTGACTGCCTGGCTGCGACCCCCCACGCACCGAGCGGGCCACGTCCTCCAGGGTGGCGGAGAAGGACTCGATGAGGCCGTGGGGCAGCTGCGACAGGAAGCCGATGGTGTCCATGTACAGCACGGCCATGCGGCAGGGCAGCCACCCCGCGTGCGCCGTGACGTCCAGCGTCGCGAACAGCTGGTCGCGGGGCTGCGCGGCGGCGTCTCCCGTCAGAGCCTTGATCAGCGTGGTCTTCCCTGGGCATCGCACATCAGGGCACCGCTGCGTCACAGCCCCCCCCCCCCCCCCCCAGTCCCCGAATCCCCTGGGCCCCCCCGGGGGCTGTCCGACGCGGCGGTACCGCGTTTGCGCTCCCTGGGAGGCAGGGCTCCGCAGGTATACACGTGCGCTTTTGTAGCCTGGGCGTACTCCCGCGTGCTGCAGGATTTGAGGGAACTGCCCTCGGCTGCACACAGACGACGAGGCCCCTGAGGACAGGGTGCTGCCACCTCACCCAGACAGGGCCGGGCCTCAGCGGGCTCGGTACTCGCTTGCTGAGGGATGGTGCAGCGGAGCTGAACACGGTGTGCCTCTTGCTCTCGCTCCTCTGGGCGCCTGCGACTCAGCGCGCGGAGCCTGGCCAGGAGCGCAGCCGGACTCCTCGGCTGCGATCTCCGCGCGAGGCAGGCGCCCCCTCCCCCGCCGCCCACTCACCACTGTTGGTGTATCCCACCACGGAGACCACCGGGAACTCCCGCCGCTGCCGCTGCCGCCCCAGGAGCTGCCTCTTCCTGCGCAGCCTCTCCAGGGCCTGCCGGATCTTCATCTCCTTCTCCTTCAGGAGGCGCTGCCGCACCTGCAGGAACGACTCTCCTACAAGCGCAGGACGCTGAGTCAGTGCGCAGACACGGAGGACAACGCACAAAGTGGCTGGGCGGACTGAGGCCCCGCGGGTGCAGGGCCTGTGAGCTCCAGGACGCCACGCAGCTGCACCCAGCACCCCAGGTTCTGACACACAGCGTGCTTGCCGCTGACAGTCGTCTCCCTCCAACGTCTGAGGTCACCTTCACTTGGCAGGAACTGAGAGCCTTGGAAGAACAACCCCAATATCCCCAGTGGGCTGCATGGTAGCCCCAGAATGTACCACTTCCTGACCTAAGAACCTGGGAACGGGACCTTGTTGGAGAGCTGGGCCTTTGCAGGTGGGAGGAGGGAAGGATCTGAGAGGAGGTCGTCCAGGGCCAGGAGGCCCTGCGTCCAAAGACAGTGTCCTGAGAAGTGACAGAAGAGGAGATGCAGACCACAGGAGAAGCCACGTGGAGACAGAGGCAGAGAGGGGAGGGACACAGCCACCAGCCAGGGACGCCTGCAGCGCCCGGAGCTGGAAGAGGCAGGAAGGCCCCTTCCTGGAGCCTGTGGAGGGAGCGCAGCCCCGGGGCCACCTGGACCTCACATGTGCAGTCTCCAGAACAGGGGCTGGAGGGGGATCAATTTTTTTTAAGTTACATTTTGTACAACAATTATTGCTTTTTTAAAACGACTTTTTAATAAATCTGTGTTTTAGAGAGGGGAAGAGTGGGAAAAAGGGGCAGCGACTGGCTGCCCTTGGCACACCCTTGACTGGGAGTAGAATCGGAGACCTTTCGGTCCGCAGGCTGGCTCTCAGGCGGCCACGGCGCCACGCCAGCCGGGGCAACTGCTGTGGTTGTGAGCGTGGGTGTGCGGACCTCTGTTACAACTGCCCCGAGGCCACCCGGACCCCCAAGTGGCTGGATGGGACCGCAGAACCGCAGACCAGGCCCGTGCGCAGCCACATGGGGATCGTGCAGGCACCTCCCCCCCGCCCCGCAGCTGGTGAGCGGACCCGGGACACGTTACCTGAGCCCATGATGTAGCGAGAGCTCCCCCCGCGTCCGTCCGGGCGGGCTGCCACGTTCTTCAGGTTGGACCTGCCGTGGAAACAGGGCGACTCCGTGGATGGAAGAAGATGCAGAGGCCCGCCCAGGGAGAAGGGGGTGGGCGCCACACAGCACACTGGTGTGGCCGAGCGGGGATGGCCGGTGTGCGTGGGCCGCACTTTGGAGGGTGGGCCCCGTCAGGTATCCAACCAGCCCCCGTGCAGGGGGCGGGGTCAGCCACACCCTGTCCGTCCCCCACGCCGGCAAAACCCTCCGACTGGGAAAACCGGCAGGAGGCCCTGCTCTCCGAGACTCTGTGGCAGCACCTGAGCAGGGGCAGCTCCGCCAGGGCCACCTGCAGCCGCGCCTCCTTGGTCCGGGCGTTGCAGCGGAAAATGTGCAGAACCACAGTGAATCGGTCGAACACCTGCACGCCCCAGATGGCCTCCAGTTCTTTCTGGAAAAGGAGAGTGGGTGAGGGACCTGCAGGACAGCCTGGGGGGGGCTCACTGAAGCCCCCCGTCACTGCCCCCATAGGTAGCCCCTTCTCAGGAACACCAGCCTAAGCGTTCCTGCCCTCAGAGTCCAGCCCGTCCGCCTCTCGTCCTACAAGCCTGCAGGTCCTTCACTCCACCGCATCGCTGGGCCTCAGAGAGGGGACGTGGTGCGGTCCCGGACGCAGTGTCCTGGGCCCCCCTGGGCAGGCTGACCCAAGACCCCGCATGGGGGTGGAAGGCACACAGCAGGGCCCCAGTACCTTAGTGGACGCAGACATCCTCTCCACGTTCAGGAAGACAGCCGTGACTTCCGACAACCCTCTGATCTTCTCTGCGGAGAGAAGGTCACGTCGGGGCCCGCCCACAACATCGGTCCCAGGTAGCGCCTGCACTTTGGTGGGCCGTGCCGCCAGACCCTCTCAGCAAGGAGTTTGGGAGAGCTGAGGTGTGCACGGGGGTCCAGGGAGAACCTGGGGCCCACGATCGCACTGGGAGTGAATGCGCCCAAGGCTCAGGCACACAGACGGGCAGGGAGCACCCCCTTCCAACTACCTGCTCTGAACCCTGAGCCCACGACAGCCTGACGCGGGGACTGTCAGGGCCCCAGGAGAGTGGGGTTCGCAAGCAGGACCCACATCAGACATTAAGAATGGGCGGCTGAGGGGCACCTCAGGGCTGGGCTGCCCTCTCTGAACTGCCCACCCACAGGCTCCACTGAGTTCTGATGTGGCTAGAGGTTCTTCAGCATCAGATCCCAGTCCCAGCGAGGTCAGATCCAAGTCTCAGCAGCAGCCTGCGGTTGCCATTCCTCTGGGGAAAAGCAGGGACTCGCGCACCACACCCACCTGTCAGGTGCTCCAAGGTCCCTTTGCCGAAGATGAGCTTCCTGTCGGGCATTTTGGTCGGCACCACCATCGTCTCCACCACCGACCAGCGGTCCAGCGTGTGCACCAGGGCTCTCGCCTCCGCTACCTGCCACTCGGCTTCCGGGAGAGAAGTATCCTTGGGGACGGCTGCTTCCAGCCAACTTAGGGAAGCTCAGGAGGGGGCTCACTGAAGCCCCCCAGCCCCTGGCCCGCCATAGCTAGCCCCCTTCTCAGGAACACCAGCCTATGAGTTCTTGTCCTCAGAGTCCGGCCCCTCTGCCTCTCATCCTAAGAGCCCCCAGCCTCAAACTTGCACCGTAGGAGTTTTGGCAATTGGACAGCCGTCCCGAAGCCCCGCTCCCGGGCTTCCCGCCCCGAAAGGTCCAGCCACCGAAGCCACGCCCCTGAGCGCTCCGCCCCATAAAGTCCAGGCCCTCGGCTCCCCACCTTCCGCGAACTAAGCCCCCAGTGTTGCGGGTCCCCGTACTGAATTCTAGACTCCAAGCCCCATTCCCGGGTCCTGCGTTACAGACCCGGAGCTCCGCCCCCCTCGGCGCAGGGCCCAATCATGTTCAGCCATTGCAGCCCCGCCTCTCGAAGCCCCGCCCCGTCAGCGCTGCCAGCAGCCCCGCGCCGGCTCACCTCGCGTCAGCTGCGGCTTCCCCGGTCCCCACTTGACCTCAGGGTGAACCAGGCACACGCGCTGGGCCTCCGCGGGTAGCAAGGGCTCGCTCCGCAGCAGCTCCTCCTCCTCTTCCTCGTTCTCTGCATCTTCTGGCTCCTCCTCCTCCTCCCCCGCCAGTACGGCTCCGCCGCTCCGGCCATCCGCACCGGGACCCCGGCCACCGCCCCCTCGCCCCTGCAGGGCCCCCGGATCGTCGGGACGGAGGGCAGCGAGCGCGCGATCAGGACAGGAAGGCAGCGGCGGCGGCGGCGCAACCCTTAGAGCTGGCCGGCTGCGAACCACGCGAGAGAGCGCAGCCCCAAGGCGGACGGCGGCCCGCAGGGTCCACATCCCGCTCCGTCTCTAACGCCAGGGGGCGGGGCTCGGGTGGAGTCAAGCGACTGTGCGGACTCCCCATTGGCCGTGCGTGTCACGTGTGCGCGGCCGCTTGAAAGACGCCCTGCGGAGGCCAGGAAAGGAGGGGCCGGCGGCGTAGGCGCGCAGGACTAGATCTGCATCCGCGCGAGCAGCTCGCATCCGACCCCCAGACTAGAAACTGCGCGAACAGGGGGGCTGGCTTCGGCCCAGCCCCTCGGCGGGCGCTCTCGACACCCGGCGCCTTCCTGCGCTCTGCTCCGGCGGGCACCGGGGTCACAGTGCGGCCCCCGATTTTGCCTTGGGGCACGAGCCTTTCCCCGATGGTCCCTGCTGCGGATCTAGGGAGGGTTGCGTGTGCCGCGTGGGGATTCGGAATCCAGCTGAGGGGTTCCGAGGTGTATGTTGCGAGCCCGAGTGTGGCCCCGGGGTGTCTTCCCATCCCCAGCCTTGGGGGCGTCCCAGTGCGCCCCGGGGGTCCGCACCCTTGAGAAAGATTGAACGCTTGAGCTCGTGGTGGTGCATTCCACGTTTGACAGACTCAAGGACCTGGTGGGAATTGGACTTTCATTACGGCTTGGTGGACGGTCTGGCCACGAGGGGATGAACCCCGCGTCTAGTCTCCACACACAGTGTCCACGAGAGTGTCAGTGATCGTTCCCAGAGAATTGGGGTAATGGGAATCTGGGCAGGTGTGCCGGTTACTTGGTCTCTGAATCCTATTTTGGTCTGCGGCGGGGGGGGGGGGGGGGAGTGATACATTGCAGCAGAATAATGAGGAGGTGCAGAAAAGAAAGCAGGACACGAAAATCCCTTACAACGTGACCACACAGAGAGACCTTAAGATTTTGTGTCTATTCTTCCAGTCCTTTATAGACACACGCGCTTGCCTACAGTCGTCCCCCGGTGTCCACGGGGGTGGGTTCCACGGCCCTCCTCGGACACCAAAATCCACTCCAGTGCCTTATATGAAATGGAATAATAGGACGCAGGCCACACACATCCTCCCCTGTAGACTTCAAAATCTCGTCCAGAATACTATACGATGTCAATGCTGGGTGAGTGCTACACTGTATCATTTCAGAAATAATGACAAGGAAACAGTTCAGTTCATGCACAACCTACTTAGACCTGACTACACCGCTAGAAGGTAACATTTACTAACGACACACTGCCAGTCAGCAGCACCCTAACTTCTCATCCTAATCCTGGATATTTTCCATCTCTGCTTGGATGAATTCGCCCGTGCAGAACCTTCTGATATGGAGGGCCCATGCCTACGTGTGAGTGTACATATATTTTAAGTTTTTACCCAAAAAAATATATCATATGCAGGGGGGAGCAACAGGTTTTCAGTTGTTCATATGGAGACCAATACAATTAATCAATGACACAAAAACAAACTTTCACACGCAACTATAAATCTACTTTTGCCCCACCCTGTATATTATTTTTTTAACTTAAAATTGTATCTGGTTCCTGGCTGGTGTGGAACCAAAGGGTCACACTTTCGATTCCCAGTCGGGGCACATGCCTGGGTTGCGGACCAGGTCCCCACTCAGAGGCGCACGTGAGGCAACCACACATTCATGTTTCCCTCTTCTGTCTAGAAATAAATAAAATCTTTTTCAAAAATGTATTCTGAATATATACTTTGAAGAAGTATGTAACACTGCATATTGGCTGCCCGGAATATGATCTAGTGGATATCTTAGGATTAATACCGCATGTTAATTGGGCTTCTGTGTTTACGGAGGTGTCACCTCTGAGGTCATGTACTGATCTTATACAGAGGGGACTGGTTTGTAATCGCTGCGCATGCGCATGAGGTAGCCGTCCCACTACAATCTGTACTGTAGTGCTGGAGAAATGTCAAAAAGTACAGGAGCTGCTAATTTTGGATTTTAACTTGAACAAGAACCCTTTAAGTGAAGCTGGGGCAGCACACCAGGGACGGGGTGGGGGCGCAGAGGGCTGGGGCAGGCGTGGCGCGTGGGGTGGGGACGGGGCTGTAGCATGAACCCTGCACGGAGGCGCGCGGGGGCGAGAGGACTGGGCTCATGGACGAGGTGGGGCGGAGGGGCCACAGGGCCGGCAGGGCGGGGCTCGGCGCACTTGTAAACTGCCACTCCGAGTCCTGGGACCGCACCTGGACATGCCTGGTGGGCTCTGGTCCGGGGTCTCCTGCTTCTACCCTGCAGGGCTTGTTTCCCTGGGTGGTCTCATCATGGAGGCAGGGTGGGGGGCTGGGAGTGGGGGCGTCAGGAGAAGACTGCAAGTGGGACTAATTGGTGATTTAGACCGACTTGCACGGCACGAACAGGACGAGTCGAGTCAGGGCAGGCTGGTTGTCTTTATGAACCAACCGGTCGAAGGGAGCGTGGAAACGGGCGGGAGGCCAGTGGGCAGTGCTGGTTCTGCGCCGGGGCCTGTCCACCCCCACCACCACAACCCCGCGGCCTCAGGAACGGGTGAGCCTTCCAGAACGCAGGGTAGTGCGCACTTTACCAAGGGACCCAGGAAACTGACTCGCCCGGTGCCGGCAGAAAAACTGCCAGACACCTGGCTGCCCTGAGCACAGAGTCCAGAGAGGGGCCCACGCGCAGGTTTCCTTCCAGGGTCCAGAGATCCCAGGAAGAGCTTCTTCCAACAGGTGGGGGCCACCCAGCACCACCAGGGTGCTGCCCAGGAGGACGGGATCCCAGGCGCGGGGCCTGGGAGGGGAAGCCGCCAGATGGTGCCTGGTCTGCGGCCAGTACCGCTGCACCTGACCGGGTGCCAGGGCACTGTCCTGGCCCTGGGGTGCGGGCCTCTGGCTTCAGCGGCTGCAGGTGTTCACGGGGCTGGAGAGGGGCCAGGTAATGTGCATGGTGTTCGTTAGTGTCTCAGGAGTACGATGGAGAGGAGGGGTTATTAGCCTGTTTAACAGGCGGCGCTGGAGACTAAGCTTCTAGAACACAGGGCAGTTCAGGCAGGACAGGCCTGGCCCCGAACAGCCCCGGGACCTGCGACAGCCCCCTCTGCAGGGCATGAGGGTGTTAGCACGTTGAGGTCTGGGGTCTTCCTGCATGTGTGAAGGTTAACACCCCAAGTGTGCTCACCTGGCTTTTCCAGGGGGCAGGGACCAGTGGGAATGGGGTGCATGGGGACAAACAAAACCATGTGGGGTGCAGCAAGGTGGGAAAGAGCAGGGGGACACAGAGCAGGGTGTGGGGGGGGTGCAGCTGCTGGGGAGGGGTGAGGGCAGGGCGTGAGGAAAACAGCAGTTACAGTGCTGGGGTTGGGGCCACCCGCACCCTCCTGGCCGGAGCCTCCTCCCGGGTCCAGCAGGCACCTGGCAGTGGTGTGCTCTCTTTTCTAACATCTTTGTTTATGGCTTTCAGAGAGGAAAGGAGCGTGGAGAGAGAAGGGGGTGCTTTCTGGTTCCTCTCATTGATGCGTCTTTGCTTGCCCCTTGTCTGTGCCCTGACCCAGGATGGAACTCGCCCCGTAGGGTATTGGGGCAACGCCCCAACCCACAGAGCAGCTGGCCAGGCCGAGTCTCGGTGGCTCGGCAGCTGTCCTGGAGGGGGGACCCCAACACCAGAACCTGCCAGGCACGTGGTCTCGGGGCCTGACAAGCACAGCGAGACTCCGATGCCGATGGTGCGGGGGTCCTGTGGGCCATGCGGGAGTTCTGGGTGGCCCCCAGCCACCACAGCGGAGACACTGGTCCACGGGGCCCTTCCCAGCAGGGTCTGGGCCACATGGACCTCAGGTCACCCCCCTTGGCTGTGGTCCCAGGAAAACGAGATTTGCCCCGTCACTCCTGGGGCCCTGAACCTCCTGGGAGGGACTGAGGGCCAGTCTGTGTGGCTCCAGGGAGCAGCCAGGGCAGGACAGTGGTCCCCATGCCGGGCGCAGGCACCTCATGGCCTCGGTGCTCTGCAGGGACCCTGCGGGTGACGGCCACCCAGGATGAGGTGAGGCCGGGTGACCTGTCCTGCTGTTGCCCGGGGACAGTGTCCACGCCCAGCGGGCGGGGTGAGGGGGACTGGCCGGCTGGCAGGGCAGGCTCCCAGGTGCACTGCAGGGCGCAGGACTCTGCCGGGCAGCCGGCGAGAAGTCTCAGGGCCCCTGGTTCGGCTTTTCCCAGGAGAGCGGTGCCTCTGCATCTCGGGCACAGGTGGGAGGAGGATGCTGCTGCAAAAGGGGGGTGACCCACAGGCGTCTCACTGGGCCAGTCTGTCCCTCTGCCCCCACACTCCCAGGACCCACGGACTGTGTGGCAAAACACCCCCTGTGGTTGGAGGGAGGGGGTGTCCTCACTGCCAGGACCCAGAGCTGAGGAGAGAGCGCTCGGCTGCCTGGTCTGTCTGCCGTGGGCGGTGGCTGAGCAGAACCCGAGGCTGAAAACCCTTAAATTATTTATTTGAAAATACAAATGTGATCTCGTAAAACGTTTTAAAATCGCGCTCCACAGCAAATACACGTTAACTGTACAGTTTGTACACGGAGGAGGAAAGGATCGCAGAAGCGTCACCAGGGGGCAGCCCAGTGCCCGGACGCGGGCAGACGCGGGATGCAGGGCGCAGCGTCTGGACGCACTCGCCGCCGACCGGACGCAGACAGCGACGCAGCCGACCGCGCAGGGACAGGTCCCAGGAACGGGTAGGTCCTCCCAAGACAGAACAGGGTTCCCTGGGGCGTCACCCATCGGTCGGCCCGGTCCGTCTCCAAACCGTGGGTCTGACAGTGGCCCCAGCGTCTCCCGGGCCAGCGTCCGCTCTGCCCGCCGGGCCAGGCGGCAGTGTCCCCCATCCGGGCCCAGCTGCGCCCAGCCTCGGCGCCGAATAAATAAACAGACGCATCACTCTGAACGAGCGCACCTCGTGTTCCGTAAAGAGCTCACCCTCCGGAACGGTCACGCACAGTGCTGTTGGCTTCCACGCAGGAGCTGCGGCGTCGCCGACCACACCCACGGCCCTCGGAGGCGGTCACGAGGGCTGCATGTCGTCGTCACTGCCCTCCTCTTCCTCCTCCTCGTCCTCGTACAGGTCAGTGGCACCCAGGACGGACGGCGTCTGGAAGAAGGGCCTCTGGGCCAGCGGCGTCCGCAGGGCGCTCAGCTTCTGGTCCACGGGGCTCAGCTCCGCCTCGTACCTGCAGGAGGGGCCGCGGTGAGAGCGCAGGGGGATGCTGGGGGCAGGGCTCTGTGAGGACAGGCCGGGACGTAGGACGCCGTCCAGAGCAGGTGCGTGATGTCCAGGAAACACGCCGCGGCGGTGCGCGGGCTGTAAGTGCGGAGGGGGTGGGGCGCCTGCGTGGAAGGGCGAGCCTGCGTGCGCAGCACGGCATCCCTGCCCTCGGTCGGCGCAGGGTCTGTGACGAGAGGCAGCGAGCGCAACCCAGGACACCCGCACGTGGATTGCTGACGGCTCTTCCTCACGTGGAGAGGGGACGTGTGAGGGCAGGAGCACAGCCTCCAACCCGGGGGAAACGTCGCCACACCCCTCCCCCCAGTCCGGGCTGGGCTTGTGTCCAGAAAACCAGCGGTCCCCAACCTTCCCGGCACCAGGGCACAGCTTCGTGGAAGACACTTTCACAGACCCGCTGCGGCTGGGAGACAGCACGAGATGCCCAGGACAGGAGCAGGGCGGCCGGGGACCCCGCAGAAAAGGGAGCCCCAGACCCCACTGACAAGAAAGCCAGGCACTCAGAGGCTGGGGGGAGACCGGAGCGCACAGACCCGTGGACGGCCCACCCAGGGAAGGAGTGGAACTGTGGCCTGGCGGGCAGGGACCCGAGTGGGGCAGCCACCTCAACCCTGTGGTCCAGGGCCTTTCCTGGGACGGAGCCTCTCACCTGTCCACACGGACACCGTGGAAAGCAGCGCCGCCAAAGGCCGCACAGGTGGACGCATGGAGCACAGTCCCTGAACCCAGGGCCTCCACAGCAGCACGTGGACGGCTCCCACCACATGCGACCCCATCCTGTCCCCTTCACCCTCCCCCCGCCCCATGTCCCTGCCCATCGCACCCCCCACCGCACTCACCCATCCTCCCAGGGGTCCCCCGCGGCCTCCTCGGCCACCAGGATGTCGTACTCCTCGGCCGCGTACCTCTCCCAGTCCGACAGCTCAGGGCCTTCTGCCTCCGCCTCCTGTGGGTACACGTGTGTCACACGGGTGTCACATGGGTGGGTGGGCAGTGGCAGCTGGGGGCCGGGCGCACTCACCCTGAGCAGGGACACCTGCTCCCTCTGCTCGTGGTCCAGGTACTTCTCGATGTTGAAGAAGGTGTCGAAGAAGACGTAGGCCAGCTTGCACCTCTTGAGGTCGCGCAGCGTGATCCTGCCTGTGGGACGAGGGGACGCTCAGGCCTGGGGCGCCTTCCCGGGCGCGGCCACCAGGGGCCGCGCATCTCACTGCAGCCCATCCACGACCGCACGTGCTGACCCAGAGTGGGACGTGAGCAATGCAGGCGGGAGCTCCTCCCCGGTGACGTTCGAGCCGGGAAGTCGTCAGGGGGACAGAGAGGGAATGAGGACCATAGGAGAACAGAGCACAGGGCCCTGGGGTCCTGAGCAACCCCGCAGCGGCAGTGGGCTGAGAACACGGGCACTGTCGCCACCAGGGGGCGCTGTGCACACACGATCTGAGCTGCAGGGAAAGGACAGCAGAGGATGTCCCCACCCCCGTCCCCTGCAGGCTCAGCAGGGTCCCAGGACGATTCCGTTCAAACGCCCCGACTCAACAGATGACACACTGAGGGGGTGTGTCTGAGTCCAGAGACTGTCCCTCTGTCCCCCTCGCTGACCCCAGGGCCGCACGTCCTTCCCCGAGCACCACCGGCCGCCTCCTGCAGGAAGGCATTCAGGGGAGGGCAGAGCCCCGGCTGCCCCTGCAAGTCCCAGCACCTGGCCGGGACACCAGCGCCCCCAGGTCCCCACAGGTGCGCCCGGGAAACTGAGGACGTGGACCTGTGGTTGGGACACCCAGCCTCCTGGCTCTGAGTGCTCTGAGGCAGACGGGACCCTGGCGTGGGGAGGGCCAGGGGACGGAGTGGACAGGAGGGTGGGTGGGAGCAGCCTGCAACGCCCCGTGGGCCGCCCCGGTGCTCCCGGTGGGCACGCGGGGTTCCGCCTCAGCCGGGGTGTCCTCTTTGCTCCCACGGGCACCCCCACTCGGAGCCAGCCCCCGCCCTCACACCTGCGCACTCCGGCTGCACCAGGTCCAGCATCTGGCAGAGGCAGTCCTCGAAGGGCAGGGCCTCGATGCCCATGCCCTCCAGCCGGCGGCTCTGCTCCTCGTAGAAGTGCTGCAGCTCGAACATGGACAGCGCCCCGTCCCCGTCCAGGTCCATGCAGCGGAACCAGTACTCGATGCTGCCGGTGGGCGGTGAGCTCAGCCTGGCTGCCACAGGTGTAACCGCCCTCCTCCCGGAACCCCGGTGACGGACCCCCAGAGCTCTAGGGACACAGCCCAGGAGCGTCCGCAGGGAAGGAGACACCTGCGGACCCAGGCGTCCATGGCAGCAGCCCCGGCCCTACCTGGTCGGGGTCTTCTTGTCTTCCTCGGAGATGAGGAACCAGACAAAGTCGGCGTAGCTGATCTTGCCCTCCTTCTGCACTTTCCTGCCTCTGCGTTCGGGGACGGAGAGACCAGGCCGTGTCTGGGGAGCAGCAGCAGCAGGCGGCCCCGGTCTGCCCGCTGGGCCCGGGGCACTGGCCTGTGGCCTGTGGCCTGTGCGGGGGCCTCAGGCAGGCTCCTGGGCCCGACGGGGGAGCGGCTGCCGCGGACTCGCCCACACTGTCTCGTGGTTAAGGGGGCCCGACCACAGGCTCCCTCAGTGCCTGGGGCCACACACAGGCCACTTCCACAGGTGCCCACGACGTACGTTCCCCTCACAGCCTCCAGAGACCGTGGTGTGCACCTTCCCTTCCCAATGACCTCGTGGGACGCGATGGAGCTGGGTGACATCCGTGTGTCTCGTCCATGACCCTGTGAGGCCCCCCCCCCCCCGACATCCTGTCCTGGCCGTGAATGCCCTGGAGCTGAGCCCTTGCCCAGGCCCGGGGCCGCGTCCCCAGGACGACGGCCTGGCGCAGACACCTACCGCGTCACGGCTCCGGAGAAGATCCTCTCGACCATGCGGGTGGAGATGGCTGCGGGAGAGACGGCGGGAGTGTGAGGGCCCTGGCAGCCTCGCGGAGCCGGCGGGACGGGGTCAACCACCGGGACGGCGGGTGGACCCCGACACTGGGCGTCCTGCACGTGCCCTGCACACTCCAAGGCTGCGAGGAGCCCACTCACAGGCACGGGCGGGCCAGGCGGTCCCTGGGCCCGAGACAGAGGGCAGGGCAGACGGGGGCGGGGCTGTTGTCTCAGCGCACAGCCCGTGTCACCGTCACTGAGACGGGGATAGAAACTCATTCCGGGCACCCACAACGCGTACGCAGAAAGATGCCGCGACACAGGCCCCCAGCTGGGTGGGTCAAAGGAGAGACGTTTATGTCTCTGCGTTCTGGAGGCTGGGCACCAAGACCCAGCGTGGGCCGGGCTGGCCCCTCCTGAGGCCTCTCTCCTGGGCGTGTGCACAGCCTTCTTCCCCGTGTCCTCACTCAGGCGTCCCTCTGGGTGTGTCTGTGTCCGCAACTCCTCTTCTTATAAAGCCCCCAGTCCTGTGGGGTCAGGGCCCCCCACTGACCCCATTTCACCAACCCCCCTCTAGACACGCACCCCGAAGCCCCATTGTGAGGGAGGCCCTGCCGGCTGGGACCCCGATGCACACGTTTTCAGGAGCACAGCCCAGCCCGCAGGCAGCACCGCGCCCAGGAGACGGCACTGAGCCAGCCCGTCCACGGCCCTGCTCGCCCGCCTCGGCGGTGCTCACTACAGGTGCGAGTGACTCGGGTCGGAGGGTGGAACATACTTTCCAAAAACTTACGTCCCTGTCCTGACCTCAAGACCCGTGACCTGCACCATATCTGTCCACAGGGCCTTTGCAGGTGGGATGAGTGAAGGGTCTGAGAGGAGGTCGTCCAGGGTCAGGGTGGCCCTGCATCTAATGCATGTAGTGACAGTGTCCTTAGAAGTGACAGAAGGAGACGCAGACCCACAGGAGAAGCCACGTGGAGACAGGAGGGACGCGGCCACCAGCCTGGGGATACCGGGATGCGGGGCTGCCCCAGCAGGGAGCCCCGGAGCTGGAAGAGGCGGGAAGGCCCCTCCCCGGAGCCTGTAGAGGGAGCGCAGCCCTGGGACCCTGGACCTCACAAACCCAGGGTCCAGGTCACGGGAGGGCGAGTGTTAAGCGTGAGGATGCGGCTGTGTGTGAGCAGCGTGTCCTGCACACCCTCGGGGGGAAGCCCCTTCCTGAACTAGCTGAATGTGGACGTTTGCTCTCCAGAAGCAAGAGAGCACCGCTTCCGGCTGTCTGGTCCCCACCAGGACCGCTCCCAGGCAGCGGGTCGGCTGGCACCATGAGCAGATGAGGAGACACGTCCGGGGCGCACGGGATGGACCCCTGAGCCCTCTGCCAGGCCCTCTCCAGGATCGGGGCAGGCCCTGCGGCTGCTCCGGTGGGAGCCCCAGGCGTGGCAGGGCTCACAGACCCGTGCGGACACCTGCCCTTGGCGAGTGAGGGTTCACGTGACCTGCTGCCTGCAGCCCTGGCCTGACCTGACCGGCGGGAGGGCCCCGAACACCCAGGGTTGGCCCAAGGAGACGTGTGGTGACAAGCGCCCAGCCAGCTCCCAGGGAGCGGCAGCGCACGGGCCGAGACCTCGCTGCTCGTGAGCCCCCCTCGGGCCCCCACCCGCAGCAGCACGCTCACCGTGGTCGTTGTGCCGGGCCAGGTCCTGCGGGTCGATGAGCAGGTCGTGGTCGGTGTCCAGCTCCCAGAACTTGCAGTAGATGACGTAGAAGTGCTCGTAGGAGAAGAACTCCGTCAGCTGGTTGATGTCCGCCTCCTCCTCCAGCAGCGCCACGTTCTGCAAACGCCCCGAGACCCTGCTGCGGTTTGGGGGGCACAGGCCTCCCCGGTGGGCGCCTCAGAAATCCCACCCAGGAACCCACGGGGCCCGGGCCCTGCTTGAGGGTGGGAGCACAGCCGCCCTGGCCGGCACGGGGACCCAGATGCTGTCCCAGCGGCCCCCCAAGTCAGCCCTGCTGCTCAGTGCCCCCAGGCCCGCGTGCCCACGTGCCCTCAGTGTGCAGGGCACGCCTCGGTCCTGCAGGTTCTGCCTCCTGCACAGGCCGCAGGAAACACAGACGGTCAGAGGGACGGAGGGTGGGTGGAGGTCAGGCCCCGCCCCACCGCTCACCTGCAGGAAGGTGCTCCTGCGCAGCTCAGCACAGGTGATCCGCCCCGACCAGGACCTGTTCACAGCGTAGAAGATCCTCTGAATGACCTGCGGGGCAGGAGAGCTTCAGCAGACTGCAGGACCACCCGCCGCCAGCAGAGGGCGCCCGCTACCCGAGGAAGGGACAGGTGGGCGGGGCCTCGCACCCAGGGCGGGGCCTGTGCCCGGCTCAGACACACCTGGGCTGCAGGGGTGCATTAAAATGGAATCAGCTCCGCACACGTCCCCACTAATCCACCACCCCAGGAACAGCGGGATCTGAAAGCTGGACTAGAACACATCCCAGAACTCACAGAGGCCAGCCCTGCACACTGCCACCTGTGCCCGTCCCAGGACACCCCCAACCCCCGCCCGTGCGATGCGGGACAGTTATGGCTGCAGCACCCCGCGTGAGACCGGCCACAGGCCCCGTTTACACTCTGTCCAACATCCTGGCCCCGTGAGGACCCCATGATGCTGACAGCGCAGGCTGAGTGTGAATCGCGGCCCGACCCACCGCGTGTTATGGGACACGGGCTTCCAACCAGAGCAGTTGCTGGAGAGCAGCGCGCATCGCGGGAGGGTTAGGGTCCTGCCCGGCGGGGGGAGGCAGGGGTCTGCACGCCCTGCGCCCTCACTGTGCTGCTGAGGCGGAAGGCACCCGGGGCCCAGGCCGACGCCATGCCCCTCCTCAGCCCTGACCCCTCGGGCACCCAGCCCCGCCCAGCCAAGGGCAGAGAGCTCATCCAGGGGGAGGAGGTGGCGTCTGGGTGGGGCCTGGACCCGGGTGGGCGCGGGTACTCACCGTGGTAATGTAGCGCGAGTGGAACTCCGACGCCTCCTTCAGGAAGGCCAGGCCGGGGTGGGTGTTCACCACGTCCTGCACAGAGGACAGGGAGCAGCTGGGCACAGGAGGCAGCTGCGGGGGCTGCACACGGCAGCTCCCCAACCGAGCCCCGCGCCGCTGCTCGGAGGACTGCTGGGCGCGCACACGCTGCGTGTGCCGTTACCGAGGTGTAGTTACGTTGGACCACGTGCCCACGCACCAAGAAGCCCCACGCCGGGTGCTCTTCCCTCCCTCTCAGGGACACCACGTCTCCCAGGGCACGCCCTGTAGGGACAAGCCTGTGCCATCCGCACTCATGACCGAGGGGACGTGGGCTGAGTCAGCTCTGGGGGCGGGGGAGCCCCTGCAGGCGCGGCCGGACAGCCAGCCTGGGAGGGTGTCCACACTGCACCCCTCTGTGAGGGGGCCCGAGCAGTGGCTGAGGGCGGGGCGTGTGAGCGGTGGCTGAGGGCGGGGGTAAGGGGCAGAGAAGGGGTGGGGGCACGTGCTGGTGGCCGAGGCGGTACCTGCAGGAAGGGAACGAAGTCCTCCTGCACCAGGTAGTTGCAACCCGGGCTCATGAGCAGGTGGACGAACCGGGCGGCATCGTCGTGGCAGTTCTGCAAGATCCTGGGGGCGGGGAGGGCACCCACGTGTCCCGGTCACACCTCTGCATCTACAGCAGCGGCCGCAGTGCGGGGATGGGGCGCTGCCATGCGGACCGTGAACCCGGCCCCGTAGAACGAGCCGTGAAACAGGTGGCCCGACCGCCCACCCAGCCCACGGTGCCCAGCCCAGGCCCGGCACTCACTTTCTCCACATGGCGACGAACTTGTGCACGGAGACGGAGCCCGTGCGCTCCCCGCCGGCGCAGCAGAAGAGGGGCCCCTTCCAGTACAGCGGGCAGCCACAGGCCTGCGCACAGAGCATCGGCGTGAGGGCGCGCCCCCTCCACACCCCAAACGGCAGCTGAAACGCATCCCGCTGTGGGGCCACCACCCCACATCGGAGTAGGGCAGCGCCCCAAGAGCGCGAGCAGCAGGTCCCCTGCCCGGACACACGAAGCGGCAGCTGGGAAGCCACCAGGGAGAGAAGGGCAGCGCACGTTGGAGAACATCGTGAGTGCGGCAACAACGGCCACCTCGCTCTGTGCAGCGCAGCCCAACAGGACGAGCACCCGGACGTTCGTCCCTGCACCGGGAAAGAAGGCTGACCCAGGCACACAGCTTCCGCTCAGAAAAGGACAGAAAGGATGAAAAGACCGGCAGGAAAGAGAAAGCAAGTACTCAAGGGGAAGAATCCACAAAATCCCAAGTGCGCTGCTTGAAAAGATCAACTGCAACTTCGCAAAACAGAAACAAAACACCAGGGGCCGGGTTTGTGACCACCTCGGGCCCCAGAGCGGATGACCGAGGGGACAGACACACAGGCCGAATAACTCCACGCCGACCCACCAGATGATGGTGTCTCTGGCACAAGGACATAACATTAAGCCGGATGTCGTCCCAGCAGTCGGTCTGGTCCTTATGCCTCATCCCCGTCTGCACCCATGGCCTCTCACGGGTCCCTATCCGCTGCCCAACGCCCACGGCGTGGCAGGGAGGGAAACGCAGGCCTCCTTCAGCAGTTGGGTTCTGTCCACTGTGGACCTAATGCCCTCCAGCTGCTCTGAGCAGCGGCACCGGAGCAGGACAGCCCTGCGAGAACAGAGGCTCAGGGGAGGGAGAAACCCTCAGCGTGTCCTCAGGCCACCTCCGCCAGCAGGCGCCGAGAGCAGGGACGCCAGAGGGCCTGAGAGCAGGACCAGCACGCAGTGGCCAGGCCAGCGCAGCACCGGACCATCCCCTCAGGCCGGGAAGCACCAGTCGCTCCCAGGTGCACGCGCACGTCTGAGAGCAGCAGCCAAGGGCGCGCGCACTCCTCTCCAAGCAGGACTCCAGGCTGCGGCCTGAGCTGGGCCGCCCTCTGCCCTGAAACAAGTCCCGGTAACGCAAACGCACCGCAGTCGGGGCCCCTGGCTGCCGACACGGGGGTAAGTCGAACGCCCACCACGAAAGGCCTCCGAGGAGCTCCAAACCGCAAAAAACGGAACCAGCACCGTCCACGCGACTCTTGCACACGGGACACGTGGCAGGACAGCAGGACCCCACGGCTACAAAACGGAACTGAGAAACCCCGACCGCTGCACGTGTGCGCGCCCTGGGGCCACACTCGGGAGCAAGTGCACACCTCGCGGTGGCAGTGCGCCGAAGACCCAGGGAGGGCGGGCGCAGCTGCGCAAGGAGACCCCGCAGAGAGAAAACAGTAGCCCTGTGTTGGCTGAAAAGGGGGCGTGGCGCACAAAGCCTGGAAATCAGCGTGACAGAAACACCTCTAACACCGAACGCCACTTTCTGGGAAAGGTAGAACAAAACGTGGACAGAGGGATGGAGCATAAAAGGCGGGGCCCGCACGTCCGTGTCAGAAGTGGCGGGACGAGGTCCCCAGAGACTCTGAAGCCGGGGCACCTGACAAAAGGAAAACGGCCGCTGCACGGCCGGCTCCGGGCGAAGCCTCACGCTGCGTCCCCCACCGTAAACAAGCTGTCATCAGGAGGAAGTGAGCAGCCGGACCGCGCCCAACAGCTCCCTGCTGAGCTCAGCACCAGCACCAGCAGCCGCGGAGGGCAGCCAGGAATAAACAGGTCCCCGGGGGCCCAGGCCGATGCCGCCACCGCCAACGCAGCACACGCTGCTGCACGAGCACAGACCACGCGCCATCCGCGCCGGGACCAGCCACATGGGGGTCGTCAGGATGTTTCCATCCACCCGAGTGGGGGTCCAACACGAGAGGGTGCTGAGCCCCTAAGACACGTGGTCTCGCACCCAAGTCCGCAGCAGTGGTGTGCGCTGCAGGGTGCTGTCCTGATAGGTACAACCACGTGATTCCACAACGCAACCCGCGGGTGACACTCAGGGACAACACGCTTGCTGAAAGAGGTTCAGGGCCGAAACAGCAGAAGCCCCAGTACAGCACCCGGGGTGCTGGCGACTCCCCCAAAGGGAGGCTCAGGGAGGTCGGAGCTGGCGGACCCAGTCCGGTAAGGAGCCTGCACCCGCACCCCGGAAGCTGCCTGACGCAGCGCTGAGGCTGCCCTGCCAAGGCCGAGGCCACTCTGCGGCGCGTGGGTGCACCAGGAGCGGTCACAGCTCTGGAAGCGGGAGGAAGAGCCGACGCTCCCACGAAGCTGAGGCGCCTGTGGCCGGGGCTGCTGTGGGCAGGACGCAGCCCGGGAGACTGAGGGGACAAGCGTCATGCAGCTGGTCGGTGGTGTGACTGTGGCGAACTGTAGGCGGCGACAGGCTGTTCCACACGTGCGAGCGCGCCCCCGGGCCCCAGCGCCCGGTGCAGAAGACCGACTGGAAACCAGCACAGCCCGCACTGAGGTGGGGCCCGAGGCCCCGCCCCCCAGGCCTGCGCAGGATCCGCAAGGCCGGGTTCGGGGTCTGCCCCACGCCCGCGCCCCGCTTCGGGACTTACACATACGCAAGGCAGAGAAAACAATATGAGAGCCACTCTGCCGGCACTGAGGACACCCGCCAACCGCAGACGCCCGCACGGGGGCAAAAGCAGCCCCAGCAGGGAGGGCACGCAGCCACGGGTCTGCCCAGCACCCGCACCTGACGTTGGGCGCTGCCCCACCTCACATGGGCATTTCCCCTCTCTCGCCTGGGAGGTGACACAGGACGCTCCGGTTCCCTGACATTGAGGACAAAAGGGAACCCAAGGCCCCGTGTGCATGACCCTCCGACTGAAGAGGGCGGGCCCAGGGCCACCAGCTCTGCCCCACCCCCCGCAGCATCCCCACCTTGGCCACTCTGCCCATGTCCTCCATGGTGGCCCTCTCGTGTGGGAACTGGGCGAAGGTTCTCTCGATCTTAGCGATGACAGCGTCGGTGTTCGCTGTGTCCTGTGGCCGACCGCGAGGAAAGTAGAAGGCGGGAATGTTTTGGCTGGAGGCCGGCGGCCGGGGCTCCTCCTTCCTCGTCTGCACCTGGGAGACAGGACGCGAGGCGGCTCCGTCAGACCTCGGGGAGCCAACGTGCTCCGAGCACCCGTGTGTGGCGTGGTGATTGCCACTCGGGGCTGGATCCCTGCTGCTCAGCGGCGTCCTGCTGCTCCGGGGCAGGGGACCCCAGCACAGGGACGGCTGCCACCCCAGCGCTGAGGGCACCCAGTGCTGCACACAGCCTGTCCCACATCCCCCCCCCGAGGGAGTCAGGGCCACACAGGTGGGCCATGCGTGCTCCCATGGGGCGGGGGGGGTGCCTGCAGCTCGCAAGGGTCTGGGTTGTCCCGTGTCTTCACGACATCAGGATGCCCACCCCACGCCCCCAGGGCTGGGTGGCACCTACACCCTGGCCCTGCCTCCTTCTGGCGACTTGGTGCTGCAGACCCCCGTGTCAGGACCTAGAAGGGCAGGAGTGGGCCGTGCCCGGCCGTCCTGGACAGGTCAGGTCATGACCTGCGTGTCCTGTGCAGTGGCCACAAAGCTGCAGCTCTGGTACTCAGTCCACTTGGGACTGAAACTGTGCGCTCCCTCTCTCTGTCTCTCTCTCTCTCTCTCTCTCTCACACACACACACACACACACACACACACACACACACGCCTCGCCCACCCCAGGGCAACCATGTGAGGGGACAACGGGCCGTCCCTGGGGCACGGAGCCTGGGCTGAGCCTTGGGGACGGGCCACCCAGCACTGACCCCTGGTTGCTGCGGGCACACACAACAGCACACCCTGAGAGGCAGTGTGGGTGTGCGGTACCCCTGGGGCTTGTGCTGGGTCCGCTCAGAAATGCAACACCCAAAAGAAACAGCTGGTTTACCATCAGCAGACACCGTGCGAGGAAATGCCGGAGGCTGTGTGTCCGGTAGGGGCCCAGTGCCCCAGACACGGCCACAAGTGCACAGAGGAGGCAGGCCTGGCGGGCCGGTGCAGGGGGAGCCTGCACATGCCCAGCACAGGGATCGGACACGAGGACGCAGCCTCGCCCCCCGCTGAAACCCGCAGGATGGCAGCAGCATATGCGCGTGAGGGGTGGGGACACCGGCCGTGCACTGAGGAAACATGAGTGGTCCCCGCTGTCAGGACGAGCAGGGAGCCGGGAGGAGGGTGTACGGCATGGCGGACGAGGAAGCCGTACAGAGGAGACAGGGGAGGACGGGCAAATAAACAGCAGCTAAGACTGAAAACAGACCGGAACGGGGAAAGACTGCTGGCCAACTGCGAACGGGCGGACGCCTGCACCCAAGACAAAGGGCAGGCTGGCAAAGACCTCGCTGACCTGTGAGGGACACGGAAGGACAGTGACAGGGGCATTTCCTGAGAAGACGGAGAAAGAGCAGGGACAGGGCAGCGAGCGGGAAGCCCGGGAGTCTGAATGCACGGCTGCCCCAGGGGCACTGCCGGCCCCAGACGCCGGGACCCGCACTGGGGTCCGTGCAGCCGGCCAACGCTGCGGGAGCCGCCACCACTGGTAGGAGCGGCCAGGCTGTGATGCTATCCAGGTCGAGTGTGTTTTCAGCGCACGGCATTTCCAAGTCATGACAGGTCTACGGGCGAGTGACCCCGTGGAGAGCCGAGGAAGGCGCTGCTGCGTCCGCGGGCAGGCGGGCACGTGGACCCCGGGAGGAACAGCGTCACCACGTCCCGGGGGTGGGAACTGCCACCCCCCAAGCGCCCAGTGCCCGCACTGCGGGCAGGCGCTGGCAGGAAGTGCCGAAAGGCAGCACGGAGGGAGGCCGAGCACAGGGCGCCCCCACCACCCCCCCCCCCAGAGCTGGGGGGACGAGGAGAAGCAGCAGGGCCCGTGCGGACTCGGGGATTTGCAGGCTTAGCCTGCGGGACAGAAATAGAGCCACAGCACAGCCGCAGAGGAACACTCTCTTCCCACCCTGTCAGGAGCTGGCCAGCTGCCTTGGCGGGCTGTGCACCGGGACAGCGTTTCCTGACCGCGCAGTGTGACCGGGCTGGACGCCAGTGAGGGGGGCAGAGGCAGCCGGGATGGGTGCAAAGGCGTGAGTGTGCACGAGAGTCAGGAGGGCCGTGAGACAGGCCCGCGGCCGCCCAGAGGGGACGTGCAGCAGGACACCGCTGCACAGCGGGCTCCTCACCCTCCTCACCTGGGCCTCGGCTGCCCGTCCTGTGCGGGCGCCCTCCCCGCACAGGCTCTTTCAGGCCCGTTCCAATTCCAGGAATCGCAGGGATGCCTGCAGCCTCCCAGAGCACATCGTGCCGCCGCCTGGCCCCTAGAAGCATGCCCCGCAGGCGGTGACCTGCGTGCGTGTGTGTGTGTGTGTGTGTGTGTGTGCGGGCACTGTGCCTGTGGTGCCAGGAGTCCACGCGAGACAGCAGCTGGGCCAGGCCTGTGGACACGCTGGTCCCCACTGAGGGCCGAGTGCCCCAGGCACGTGCGGGACTCAGGAAGCCAGCCTGTCCTGCTGTGGGCTCGGGCCCGCCAGCGGGGCCCCCGCATGTGGGAGGGGCCCGGCAGGCCAGGCAGAGGCAGGCCGGGAAGGGCCGAGAGGTGCTGCGGGGTCCCAGGGCGGACGCCCACAGGGCACAGGAACAGTCTGGCACGCTGGACCCCGACCGTGGGGCTTGGCCCAGCAGCACAAGGGTCTTACGTGACTGGAGCACCCACAGCACCACTGCTTGTCCCAGCGGGAGACCACAGCTTCTGTCCGGGAGCCCAGGGCCCTCCACACCCCTGGCAGACCACCCCACACAACCACAGTGAGCGACCAGGTCCACATCAAACACAGAGGGACAAGACCTGGTCCTTCCTTATCTTTCTTATAAAGATAAGAAAGCAGACCCCTTGCCAGGGTTTCTTCAGAGGTCGCCTGCCTGCGCCCCGGCCCGGCAGCACGGCGGGCGGGAGTGCCAGCGCACACGGGAAGCCTGTGGTTCCGTCCCCGGTCAGGGCATGTGCCTGTGGGGGCGGTTCAACGCCCGGTCGGGGTGCGCGAGGCCGGCAGCAGGTCGGGGTCTCTCCCACACCCATGTCTGCCTGGGTCCCCCACCCCCGCCTCCTCCTCTCCCTACGAGGGCAGGAAACGTGTCCTTGGGGGAGACGGGCGCCCACAGCGGCAGGACGGGTGGCGGTGGCAGAGCCTGTGCACCCAGAAGGCAGGGCGGGGGGCGAGGAGCAGGCGGTGCCAGCCGCGTGCCGTACACAGGGAACCTTCTGCTTGGGGCCCTGGGGGTCCCAGAGCTGGGACTGGGAGGCACCCAAGACCCCCACTGGGCCCTGTGGCAGCACAGTCCCAGGCGGGTGGACGTGGCCCACGCACCCCGTGGCCATGCTCCAGGCAGCCCCACAGCCAGACGCACTGCAGCCTGCACAGCGTCCCTGGTGTGTCTGACCCCACCCTCACCATCGCCCCGTGGGCTCCTCACGGTCCATGGGCCCATCACTCCCACCCCCCCAACCACACACGCGTGCCCACCTGCTGAGGCTCTGCCGCGGGCCACACGGAACCACACCGGGCGGAAACACCCACGCAAGGTGCCTCCGCCTGCCCCGACCCCCACGAGAACGACCCTCTGGTTCTTCCCTGCCCATGGGGGTCCCATCACAAAGGCACTGGGGTGACACAGGCTGTCCCCCCGAAACCGCAGTGGACACGCGTGCCATGCGATGAGAAATGACGCCCCACATGGGGAACTCAGAGACTCCGCTCCCCGGAGTCTGACGCGGGTGCACGAGCAGCCCAGTCCAGACTCAGAGACGAGCCCGTGTGGCAGTGCCCGCCACGCGAGGAGCAGGCCCGAACGCACCACACGCCCTGTGACCACCCTGCAGGGAACTGACGGCCACACGGCCGGCTTCCCTCCCCGCTGAGCAAGGGCACACTGCGCGGCGTCCACCGCAAGGGCCCCCGAGTCAGACGAGTTTGGACAGACTCCCTTCACAGGGAGGGGCAGACAGCGCGTGGGACTTGGGAACATGGGACAGACGGGGGCGGGGGGCCACAGCAGCTGCAGATGAGCTGGCGTGTGCTCCCGGAAAAACCCCAGCGGCAGCCCCGGCAGACAGCGGGCCTGTGCTCGCCCAGGTGAAGCATGGGGTCTGGCGCAGCCTGGTCTTCAGGCCGCCACAGGGCGCCCCCGCGCAGAGCTCGACCAGGGGCAGCAACTGTAAAGCAGGGGGGAGCTCTGAGAGGGAGCAGAGGGTGAGGCTGGGTCAGCAGGAGAACCGCCCGTCACAAAGGGGTGCACAGGTGTCCCAGGAACGCTCCACGGTGCCTGCACTCACTCCCACAACGCGCACAGCCAGCAGCCCGAGCCCCACCTCACCACTCTGAGCACTCACGGGAGTCACGGCCAAGCCCTGCCACCCACCGGTCCCTGAAAAGCATGGAATTCAGTTCTCCGGGTGGTCCAGGGTGTGACTGTCCCCACAGACCCCTTCAAACGCACTGCAGCCCACAGCGCCCCGGTGAGGCTTCAGCGCCACACACGTGCGCGCACAACACTCTCTCTCCACGGGGAAAACGCGCCCGGTCCCCCACAAAGGGCCGAGCCCCGCGGACTCGGTGCCCGGCCAGCCATGGGGCGCACGCAGAAGCCAGTCCCACAGCCACGGGGGCATCTGCAGCCAGACCGCGGGGGAGACGCTGCTGCAGTTGTTTGCAGAGGGAGCTCTGCCCCAGCAAACTTCCCGAGCTGCACGGACCCCCACCGGAGTGGCCGCAGCCCCCGCCCCAGGGACGAGTGAGGGACCGGGCGAGGACCCACGGGAACAGACACACAGCCAGCGGAGGGTCAGAGGACGCGTGGATCTGCACCTGCTGGAAGGCCTTGAGCCGCTTCTTGAATCGCGAGGGCAGCACGAAGTCGCAGCCGCGGGCCAGCGAGGCCAGCTCCTGCCTCAGGTCTGGGTCCTGGCGCAGGGACAGCTCGCGGAGCCGCATGTCCACACGCACGGGCCACCGGGGCCCGGGGTCTCGGGGCTGGGCCGGGCCAGGGGGCTCGAGGCGGCAGCTGTGCCGGGCAGGGCGGAGAGGGTGGCCGGGCTCAGCGCGCTCCATGCGCGGCCGGGCGGGCGCTCTGGGGGCCGGCCCTGGGCCGCACGCATTCCACAGGCTGAGGCGGGCACATGGCTGGAGGGTGGGGGAGGCAGGGCCGGCAGGGCAGTGGCAGCTGAGCAGGGAGCCCGCTGTGGCGGCAACGGCAGCAGCGAGAGGGAGGGAGGGAGCCCCAGGTGGCTGCCGGAGCTGTTCTCTGTGCCGGTGACGGGAGGGGCGCGGCGACTGTCTGCAGCTCAGCCCACCCAAGGGACGGGGACAGAGACTGACACTGAGAGGTCGGCGGCGGCGAGAGGACGCAGGGGCAGCGCCTGCGAGTTCCCGGGAGGGAGGGGACAAAGGCAGGCGCGCTCCAGACAAGGGGAGGCTGTGCAGCAGCAGCAGACAGGACCTGCCCCGGAGCGCGCACCCTGCCCTGTGGTCCTGGGCCGGCGGAGGGCCGGGACAGCTGCTCCCTCCCAGAGGCACACGCTGGCTCTGCCAGCTCCGCCCCCACCCCCTCCGCTGCAGCGCTGACGCCCAGTGTCCCAACTCCCAAGGGCAGGCTCAGGCTGTCTGCCCAGGGCTGAGGAGCAGGCAAGGAGTCTGCAGGGCCGGGTGGCCTGGGGGCCCCTCCACTTGGCTCTGGGATCGATGCAGGCCTCACGTCCTGACCGTGAGGTGGATGAAGAGGGTGGGGACGGCAGGGGGCAGGCCCAGATGCTGAGATCACAGCCCAGGCCTCCCTGACAGATGGAAAGCCACGTCCAAAGCCCAGGGGGGTCCCACATGGGGGTTCTGAGGAAAACTCCTCCCAGCAATAAAGCAGGTTTGCGTGCCCTCGGCTGCAGAGCAGGGTGCACCCCCCAGAGGGAAGGTGGTGAAACAGATGGGAGGACACAGGACACAGCAGTCAGCTCCTGAACTGCCCAAAGGAGAGCCCGGAGGGGCCCTGTCTGTGATGGACCATGAGCTCTGTTGGGGGGGCGGGACACCAGGTCAGCAGCACTAGGTCAGGTGGCAAGGGGGGCTGTGGGACATCCGGCTGCCCGAGAGGGAAGACAGCCTCACAGTGTCCGACTTCTCTAAGCAACTGTGGCCGGGCAATGCTGAGCGGCACCTAGCTCCATCTGGGTCCCACAGCCCAGAGCAGTCAGGGCCCCTACACCTCACAGCCGGGCCCTGGGCAGCACCTGCCTGCCAGTGCCTACTGCCCACCTCTTCCCCTGGGCACAGTCCAGGAGGCTCCCCTCAGTGAGGTCCACAGAGGGCAGCCTCTCCTGCTCTCCACCCCTCCCTGTGCACTCACTTTGTCAGCTGAGGGGTGGAGGGGCCTGAGTCTGCCAGACACAGCACCACATGCAGAGGGGTTACCAGCTCCCTCTGCCAGGCCCCCAGCCGCATGGTGACAGGGTCCCCGACAGGCAGGTGGCGCCGCCGGCGTGTCCCTGCCACTGGGGACAATGGTGCCAGACAGAGCTGGGCAGACAGAGCACAGCACCCGCCCCACTGCCCACCTTGCGTCTCTGATCGATTAACAGCCTCTGCTCCTCCAGCAGCCTCGGGGTCACGGACGCGAGGCAGGAGGCACGCAGCCCCCGTGGGCTCCGGCACACCCCACGGTGCACGTGCTGTTTGGGCGGGGGCTGCGTGCGTCACGGCTGCCACGCTGGCTGCACTGAAGTGCAGACCCCCCCCCCAACACAAGCACGTTCTCCACCATATTCACGCAGTTTCTCGGCCGGTGGCCCTTCTACTCCCTCTTACCTCGGGCACCTCTGATCACTGGCCACCCCGAGTCTGCCCCTTCCCGCTTATCACAGAGTTGGGGGCAAACAGGAGGGGCCCTGACTGCCTCTCCCCCCAGTGTCTGCACCATCTGAACCCCCATTCCTTTTTCAGGCTCTCCTCAGGGTCACTCCCTCGGGGCTCCCGCCTTGCCCCATCTCTGCTCAAATCCACCTTCCTGCCCACACTTTGAATGTCGTGAAGGACTCAGGGTGTGACCCCCCTCAAAGTTCTCCAGACAGAGAACTGAGAGATGACGCCACCGTGAGAGGGACAGAAAAGAGGGTGCCAGGTGACCTGGGAGCTGGGCTATAAGGCTGGGTGGGTGCTCGAGCTCCACCCTCTGACACTCAGCAGCCACACGCAGGAGGCCCCTCGGCTCCACACTGCAGACGGGCAGCATTCAGAGCGAGCTGGTCGGGGGGCTGGAGTCAGACCACCATCCAGGTGGCGGTGGGGCGGCCAGGCGCTCCCCCAGACTGGCGCAGTCCTGCGCGCTGGCTGGCTTCCTGCTGAGGGGCTCTCATTTGTCCTCCTTCCTGCAGACCTGGAGAGGAGGTGCTGCTCCTGGAGCTTGGGACGCCAGCCCTGTGCTGCCCCGATGGCCCACCTCCCCCAGCAAAGGAGCCGTCCTCTGGCCACGGGGGGAGAGAGAGAGAGAGTCGCGCAACACCCAAGACTGAGATCCCACCCCACACAGTGCCGGCCCAACACCTGCCCAAACCCCACAATCCCACCGGGAAGCCCCTTCCTGGAAAGGTACCCAGCCCCCCCTTCCATCTCCCAAGTGGGCCCCCCCGGGTCCTCCAGGAGCCGGTGCGCATGGAGACAGGAGGGCCCTTCGCTCAAGGGCCCGTGAGCCTGCTGCCTGCTCACAGAAACCCAGGCAGCCTGGAATAGACGGCGGACCACAGTGGGTGCGCCGTCCATCCTGGATGAAGTGCCCTGTCTTCCCACATGAAAGACAAGGCCCTGTGCCGGCCGAGGACCCCTTGCTGGACTGTCTCGTCGCACAGAGCTGACCTGTCTGTACTCTGTGTCCCCGGTCCCTCGGGGACACAGGCACAGGGCACGAATTGCAGGAATGCACCTTGGAGCGCTGCTGGGCCCAGTTCCGGGAACACGGTGGGGAGCTCCGTAAAGATGGGAGCAGTCCAGGGTGTGCCGTCCGGGGAGTCCGGACAGACGATACAGAGGGACAGACGCCAGTGGGGCAGGAAACTCCGTCAGTGTTGGAGGGACCAACCTGAGCCCCGGCCCGTAGTGTTCACTGGGAAGGGCTCCAGGTCAGAGCTCAGTGACGGTTCCATGGGACGGTTCCTAGGGGTCCCGACAGGCCTCCTGCTGCGCTCCTCTGGGGGGGGTCTATGCCTGGGGGTCTGCGAAGCTGCCCCAGCCCCACCCACTACCTGTGCTCCTGGGACACTCACTTTCCAGACCAACTTTGCCAAGTGCCTGCCTGTCTTTGGGTGGACATCCACCCACCACTCTCCCCTGGGTGACAGCTGCATTTTGGTGGGGACCCTGTGACACTGAATGGTACCAGTTTGGGACGTGCTTAGTGCTGGGGACGGCACAGGGGATCCCACTGCAAATTGAAGGGTTAACAGCAAATTCCCATGCAGTACCGTGGGTAGATTTTAGCACCAACCTTACGTTTTTCCGTAATAAGTGGAGGCCGCATCTTATTAAATGGACCCTGTGCTAAACGGCAGAAATCAACTTGTGTTTCACGCTCTGTCCATGTCCAGGTCCAGGTCCAGACACAGTGGGTCTAAAACCTCAACGCTCAGGAGCTCACTGGGTGACAGCGTCGTCCCAATAATCCGCGTTGCAGTTCACTTCCCCAGTCGGGATGCACACAAAAAGCAACCCATGAATGCAACACATAGATCTCTCTCTCTCTCTCTCTCAAGAGGAAAAAAAATTTCACACCACCTGACTAAAACTCCAAAATTATGGCCAACGTGGGACCCTACGTTTCCAGCATGTAGGGCTGTCTTTTTCAGGGAGCGGGGTGAGGGGGGGTACACGCCACATGCGCCAGCGCTCACATCTGCCGTTGCCACCCTCTGCCTCCTCCGGCACCTGCCACGCGTCCGCGTCCCGAGTTACCTGGCCCTGGACAGGCGTTAGCGGAAGGAAGAGAAACTTACTCCTCTCGGCCCGGCCGACCTTCGAGTCCCGCGGACCTGCGGCCCATGCCTCGGGCTGGAGGCGGCTCCCACGGGCAGCGTGGGCGCCGCGGGGGCCGGGGCTGCGGGCGTGGGCCGGGACCGCTCCGCGTCGCCATCACCGCAGTCGGCCCGCCCGGGCGCCCGGATCCTCTGCAGACAGTCCCGCAGCATGGCCTGCGTGCCGGCCTCGCTGAGCCAGCGCAGGAACAGCTCGTCCACCTTCATCTTCAGCACGGGCTGCAGGGCTTTGCCGGGCGGCATCTCTGAGGCTCGGTCCCTCTTTTCTGGGAGCCCGGATCCACACGCCAGGGGCCGAGTGCGGCCGCCAGGGACCTCGGGGGTGCAGGACACAAGTGCAGGCGGCACCCGGCCAGGCTGGGGTGCGGGCCCGGCGTCCGGGAGGAGGGAGCGACCGGCCTGACAAGACTTTTCGGTCCAGGCGCCGGAGCGCCCGCGCCTCGGCGTTTTGCACAGACTTGGAGATACCGGCTGAGGCGGCCCAGGCAGGACGCGCGCGCCTCAGAACAGCTTCAAAACGGCCGCGCCAGCCGCGCTCCCAAACAAGTCGCCTACGTCTTGCGTCACCGCGGCGCGTGGCGTCATCATGGCGGCGCACGTCGCCGCTGGCCGACGTGCCGGCCGCCGGGCTTCTGTGGAGGCATTTGGTGGAACCAGGGGCGTGTAGGCACTGGGGTAGGGGTGGGGGCGGGGACCGGGAGTGGCGGTCGCCCCGAAAGAAATTTTTCTGCTGTGGGGCTTCCTAAGGGTGTGACCCACGCGGACGACGCCACCCTAGGGCCTAGAAAGTGCGAGCTGGCGCTGTGCGTGGTCGCCGGGGTCTGAGGTGGGCGGGGAGTAGGTCGGCGGGTTGAGCATGCGCACTGTGTGCCCACCAAGCTAGAACTGGAGGCCCGGCGTTGCGCGAGGGGCGTGCGCCGCGCGTGCTCTCCGGGAGCGGCCGGGCACGCGCAGTGCGTCCCCCGAGCTCGGGGGCGAGCACGCGGGTTGCGGGGCCAGGAGCGAGCGCGAGCCGGAGCCCGAGCTCGGGTTAGAGCGAAGGCGACCCGTTTATGTCCCTTTAGTTTACCAAGTGATTAACGATGCGTTGGAGGCGTGCAACCACTTTCAACACTGTTGTATTCGGATGAGAGTGAACTGCTTTGCTTTTCTGAACTGCTTCTTTGACTGCAAAAATAAAAATAATAAATCTGGAGTTAACTACATGACGTTGCCCCATGCCTCGTTTATTTCCGAGTATGCTTCTTCCAGGGTCGGTAAATCATCTCCGTTGCACACATGCACCTCTTTCCTTTATTCCTGATCTTTTTATTTTTGTGAGTTTTTTTTTTTTTTTAACAAAAGCTTTCTGAAGCTTTTTCTCGTTTCTGGTCTCTTTTAGGGGTAATTGCAGGGCGTAATGGTCTGGTTTCTGCTAAATACTTCTGCACAGGGTCGATATAGCCAGACCGACGACATAACTGTTGGAAG